TTTTTAAATCATACGTGACATGCCGTTGTGGCTGGATAAAAGTTTGTGTTTATTTTTCAAACACCTTCGTTTGATAGGTAGGAATGTAGCTATGAACAAGTACGTACTAGTAATATTAGTTATTTTGTTATTAGTTCATTATTAGTACCTATGTATTATGTATTACCAGTTACATAGTAAAATAAATACATATAATGATAAATTAACTGTGGATTATTTCATTTACGTTGCGTTACGTGGCTTCCGTGTGGGTAGCTCGCTGTTTATTCCAAAATTAATAAAGTAACTCAACACATTGAAGAGGTTGGCGACCACTGCCCTAGCACATTAACGACCGATAAAAATGTTGAGTAGTAATATAGCTATAGGAGTTCTAAGCCATTCCTTATGGAAAAACACGAGCAAATTTGAGCAGGTCCATTCTGGACCTTTTTGGACTTCCGATCGGAACCTTGTGGAACACTCAACTCGAGGTAGGTGTGACGTAGTCGTTTCCACTCCTCCACTTTTCATCATTACCCAGTCGACCAATCAGAAGCTACCGCGCGTGGAGCGGGAAATTGAAATCCAGTAGATGAACAACACCGATACGAGCCCAAAATCCAATGTATTTTCTTATGGAACTGGAACGTATTTTCATAATGCAGAAACGTATATTGAAAACAATGTTCAATATGAATTACACAGACACTTGTCGTGGTACCTTCAAGGGTAACAAAATGCTTACTGTATATGCTATATATATATTTATGTTTGTGTACTTTTTGTAAACGAGAACAAATCGAATTTTGAAGATGACAAATATAGACATTAGTATTCCACCCGACAGAAATCCAATTATATTGTTCCTAAACATGGACCGAAAAACACAGAGCATGGGCCGCATTACGCATCAATTAAATTTTACAACCATTTACCCTTGAGTATCAAAGAAGATCGGACAAGAAAAATTTTTAAAAAACGTGTCTCAAACAAAAAATAAGAGATGCATGTATTAGTATTACATCTATTATGCTGAAAAATTTCCACACAAATTGTCTGGACCGACAACTTATGTGCATTCAAGAAAGAGGTCGTCAATTCGAGCGTTTAATGTAGATTCCCATGAAGCTTTGATTTTCCGTATTGGTTTCATTTTTCCCAAAAGTTCATGATGAAATAAATTGTTTTTCTGTTTGATTGTTGTNAACGCTATAAACATATCAAATGTGATATCCCCTTGGATTGTGAATTTTTTGCTTTATCAATATCTATAATAAAAAAGACAGGTCCGTATTTAAACAAAAAGTTGATGGTGGCCATGTTGACACGAAACGTTGTATCGAATATTTCCTTTTCCTTTTTTTGATATTCTCCGAAATGACAATTCCATTGGAGAAAAAACGCCACACGCTCCATGCCCAACATTTCCAATATGCCGACATATATGTATGTATTTCTGGTCGAAAAATATTCATCGTGCTGACATACAATCAATTTTTTTCGAACACTCTAAGAAGAAGGTTTTGTTCAGTTCAATCATGAATCTTCATTTGTACATCAAAAAAGTATAATATGGATAACCTTGCCTGCAATTTAACGTGATTATATAGTTATCTAAAGACCTCTGACCTTTCATGAGATTATCATGGCAAATAACTTGGGGTATGATGTTGAAACTATTTTAGATGAGGTGCGAGGAATGCTGAGAACATTCACATATATCTTTAATGTCGAAATCAAATTGAATTGTGGGTCTATCCTCACATTGAAACAGTAACATGAGAAATATATTAAAGAATAAGAAATAGATAAAGCCAAATACTTCTTGATGCCAGGGCCGTACTTAGGCGGTGGCGCCAAGAACGCAGGTACAAATGGAGGGCAAAATCAATCACAAGAAATTCCCTTTCCTAAAAAACTATTTGCGGTCTAGTATGATTGAAAACAGATCGACAAAGTCAGCTATCCTCTCCATAGAATATGAGATTCTGATGAAATACAGTAGGGCCTCGGTAATCCGGACTCCCGTTTGTTCGGTGATCGCTGTAATCTGGCCGGACAATGGGCTTCGAGGGGAGGCGGGAATCAAAAGACAAATTGCGAATTATATATTAGATAAAGTTGACAGCTACCCTGTCATTGCTCGGAAGTTTGGTATAGACAGGTCAACTGTAGGCGACATTAAGAAAAACAAAGACAAAGTCTTGAAGTTTGTTAGCATAACAGAAAATGGTCCGATGTACGAAAAACACTGAAGAAATCGGAAAATCCTGCTTCAGAAGATGCTTTGTTTACATGGTTTTTGTGACAAAGGCTCTTGCATGTTCCTGTAAATGCAGCTATTCTTTTTAATTTTTTACAGATTCTTTAACTGATTTCAAATCAATTTATATCACATTAGGCAATGAAAGTCCGAACTAATGAAATGAGGAAATTAAGGTTAAACATGTGTATTATTAGCATTGAATATGGCATACTATAATCCAGACGCCTCGATAATCCAGAAAGGGTGTTGTTTTGCCTCTCCGGATTAACGAAGCCCTTCTGTAATTATTACATCGCTTTCATATCTATAGAAATGTTAGATAAAGGTGACAGCTACCCTGTCATTGCTCGGAAGTTTGGTATAGGCAGGTCAACTGTAGGCGACATTAAGAAAAACAAAGACAAAGTTTTGAAGTTTGTTAGCATAACAGAAAATGGTCCCGATGTACGAAAAACACTGAAGAAATCGGAAAATCCTGTTTTAGAAGATGTTTTGTTTACATGGTTTTTGTAACAAAGGCGATTGCATGTTCCTGTAAGTGCAGCTATTCTGTTTTGGGGCTCTGTGCTCTTTGTTACTATGGTCTTGGAATGGGATCTGAAGTTGGGGAGCTACAGAAAAACAACATCTACGTACGTACGTACGTAAAAGATCGCATCAAAACCACTTATATGTATTTTGGAGGTTCGATAGTTATCACAGCAGCAAGTGCTTTAGCGGCAGTCCGTTTCCCATTTATAATGAATATTGTTATGAAAAATGGATTTATGGGAATGGCTATCAGTTTAGCTGCAATAATGGGTATAAAAAAGGGTTTGCGGCAAAGCAAATGGCTTGGTTGCTCCACACTGGCACACTGGGTGCAATGCTGGCACCTATGTGTTTTCTTAGCGGACCCTTACTGATTCGTGTTGCTTGGTATACTGCATGAGTGGTTGGAGGTCTTAGCACTATTGCTGTATGTGCTCCAAGTTCCTTTATATGTGCGGTCCTCTAGCTATGGACCTTGGAGTGGTTTTTGTGTCATCCATTGTAACCATGTTCTTACCACCCACTACCGCTTCAGGAGCTGGACTTCACTATATTAGTTTGTATGGAGGGCTTCTACTGTTTTCTGTATTTTTATTACACGATACTCAAAGAATTATTGCCCAAGCCGAACGCTATCCCTCTAGCCCTGAATTGTATAGAGTTACACCTTATGATCCAATCAATGCTTCCATTGGCATTTATCTGGATACCTTGAACATCTTCATCAGAATTGCCGCCATTTTAGCAGGTGGTGGACAAAATAGAAGAAAGTAAATGGATT